GCTGTAATGACTGATCAACCCCAAGAATGATCTGAGCTTCGCCACATTGTCAGGGGAGGTATCTGTTTTATGGCACTTATGTTGGAAGGGTCCGGACGACGGCCATCCTTGTCGATGATGAAGCTAAGATACTTTACACACTTCATGCCGGTATTGCACTTTTCTGCTTTCAAGTGGAAACCGTAGTCGTTAACGCGGTGGAGAACTGCTTTCAGTCCTTCCGTCAGCTCTCGAAAGGTAGCCCCTTTGATTATGATGTCGTCCAATTAAACTGCGACTCCTGACAACCCAGCTAACATCCTATCCATAATTTGTTGAAAAACCGCGGGAGCTGATTTGACACCAAACGGCAAACGGTTGAACTGGTAAAGACATCGGTGCGTATTGATTGTCAGCAACTCCTTCGAAGCATCGTCGACTTCAATTTGAAGATAAGCATCTGATAAATCTAGCTTTGCAAAGTAAGCGCCACCACTGAGCTTAGCAAATAAATCTTCTGGGACTGGCAAAGGATACTGGTGCATTTTCTAAGCAGCATTCAATCCCGTAGTCAGCACAATTCCATTGGTCTTCTTGAGGACAACAATAGGTGCTACCCACGCTGAATAGTTCACAGGTTGGATGACGCCGGCCCGCTCCAAACGATCAAGTTCCGCATCAACAATCGGAAGCGCAGCGTACGGTACCGGTCTTTTTGGGTCGGAATACGGGTTTGGCACCGTCTTTGAGAGTAAGGCTTGATTTGGTCTTTGTACATCTTCCCAAGTCGTTGCAAAACACAGCCGGGAATTTCCTTCGTAGCTGCTCGATCAGGTTGTTGTTCGGTTCGTCACCTTCCGAAGAGGGCCACGTATATCCTAGCCGGAGAGTATTTCAGATTTGACTCAGGGGAATGTCGAACAGGTGGAGCTTCTGGATCCATTCGAGTCCAAGAAGATTCAAATGTGACAGGCCCGTAATGAAGACGATGCCGTTTGCCCGAGCAGCGCCTAAAACCATTTCACTCTGCAGCTCACCAATGAGATTAAGTTGACCTCCTGAAGCGTTAAGTGCAACATGTGTCGTTCGGCTGATTGACGAAGCACCAATATACTGCCAAGTTTTGCTGGAGATAATTGTGATGTCCGAGGCTGTATCTAGCTGAAGACGCAGTTGTTGCCCGTTCAGGTGAACTCGGATGTACTTTCTGCGAGCCACATGTTCATCAGAGTGGGCCGCTTGAACCGTACTATAGCTGCTGAATCTTTTGGGAACATTTGAATTCGGTCGAGTATGTCTAGCACGCTTGAATTGCAGTCTGTATCGGCAGTGCGTTTCATTATGGCCCCATGTATGACACTTGTGGCAAACGTGTTTTAGGAATGGACACACTCGAACGGAATGCCACTCACCACATCTCCAACAGGCAGTCGGGGGCTTGGAATTCTCTCTGAGCTTTTTATGGCCTGTTTCGCTTGGAAGCGGTTTCTTTGAGGTTGTTTTTAATACACTAAGACTTGGAGTTCATTGTTGTTTCTCCAACATAAGCATGTCATGCTTGAGGTTCAGCAATCGTTGGCATTCAGTAGTTATGGTCAGTAGAGTCATTTGCTGGTCTTGTTCAAGTTTACTCAGCAGCCTGGTGCGAATCTCTGCATCCCGTGGGGAATGTAGGCCACAGATAAAAATCAGGCATTTGAATTGCTCTACCGTAATGGATTTCATGTCGAATTTTTCGCACTCGCGATTGACGATGCCGGAGTAATTGACGTAGTCATCAGCGTCCATCTTAGTGATCTTCAGGCATTGATATCGCGTGTTGAAGATGGATGACTGCTCTCCAAATATTTGGCCCAAGCATTTGACAGTCTCCTCAAAAGTGCAGTCTCGAGCGTTCTTAGGCAAAATAAAGTTGACATACCTGGAGTGCTCTGCTGTTCCAAGTTTCCTTAACAGCAAGCGGACTTTCCAATCGTCATCATGGTCTCCAAGTTCAACGCGGAACACATCTTCATAACGCTTGAACCAATATTCAAAAGTGAGGCCAACATCAGGGTCGTACGAAAATTCGGTAATGCTGTTAGTGATGGCGTCTACCGATGCGGACGGCTTGACGGTTGTAGACAGTGAACCGGTCTGGATTGCGAGTTGGCGCGTAAGAGTTTCGATCAGCCTGAGTTAGGATGCCTCGAATTGTGCTTGTTGCTGCAGCAGAATGGCGTTGAGCTCGTCAGCCGATATGGACATCTTGATTAGGGTTCAACCCGTCGCCAGCTGAAGTGTTCGTCCCTCGCCTGAATGGACGCTTGTTTCCCAATCAATACCCGAAGTCGCTGGCCCCCCACAGGACAAAGAGAAGACCGGATCGGACGAGCAGAGCAGCATGGATGTATTGGCGAATCACTCCGTTCGTTATAAAGGTAAAATGGAAAGTTCATGAATAGTATTTAGAGCGACCGTGAAAGCTCTGGAAAAGTCAACTTACAGCCAATAAAGGAACTTCGACCTCGTGTTCACTGGCCGCTTCTCCCGTTTGTTCTTTGTTCGCCCCAACCAGGGCGGATGAGTTTGGATCGCCGGCCGCGGCGATGGGGTTCTGGCTTGTTCGCATCGCGGATTCCTTCCTAACATCTTTAGTTTGATTTATACGGCTTTTTAACCTTTAGATCAAATCACACCCGTTGGGAAAAAGAGGAACTTACGCCCATCATCCTGACGAGGGCAACGACTGGAAGTCATTGCATCTCTGTTACTGGTAAATTTGAAGACTTGTAGAAGCTGGATTAGTACATTATAATTGAGTAAGCTGACAAGAGAACCTAGCGTGTCGCGTCAAAATTGTCTGTCAAATAGTCACTTGGATTACTTGGTGGAATGGAAAGGAATTGGGCTCTGCGGTTCCCTCTTGGGTTATGCCTAAAGGTGGAGTTCGAGATGGACGTGAGCGTCAGCACAATTGCTCGCTACCTAGACAGTCGCCTCATGACAATGAAGAATGTACATGCAATACCGGAATCTATGGATACGATGGATAGCAAAAGGCTAAAGAAGGCGTACGTGTTTAAATGAATTTGGAGGTAGAAGGACAGCGGGCGGTATGGATAGATGAGACGAACCTGTCACGCCGATCGGGAGCGTATCTTCCAAGAGGAGCCTCACAGCTCAGGATGACTTCTACGACTGGCACCGTACTTTCCACAACTAAACCCGTTCGAAGGCATTTGGAGTACCATTAAGGTCTGCGTTAAACAAACCATGAGGCGGCGGTATTCCGCGATGTTCCGAGGGGATCCGGATGGTGTACTCAACAAGACTGAATGGAGGATGCAGTTCTTGGAGCAGGTTTTTGCAGAAGCACATGCCTGCATGATGCTGCACCACTGTCAACAAATGGTGCGGCATGTACGAAAGACCTTTACACATGCTTTGCACCTTCTCGATTTCTAACCCGTTCAACACTACTCATATATTTCTTGTTAACATTCACTGAGGTTTTTCTTGGAAAGCAATGTGGGGCCACCCCGAGTGGGGTAAAACGTTGTTTTTAAGTTGGAATTGCCTCTAGCTCTGCGAAGATTCACTAGGTCTACCAAGCCAAGTGTCTTCAAGAATTTTCTATCCTTTCTATTGAAGTCGCCAGCAACAATACTGGTAGAACGATCTAACCTAAGTAGTAGCGTTGAAGAAAGTTGGTCTTCAAAATGCTTTAACTAAGATGTACATGTGTCAAGAGCAAGTTATACGTTTCCAACAATGAGTGATCGAAAGTCAACCTACCCGTCACTCTGACACCGGCGTCGTCAGTTTTATTACATAACACCTATCGATATGTGTGTGTGCAAGACAGCGACTCTCTCCGTCTAACCATTGACTTACATCTGAACCAATCACCGTGCATTTACCTTCGTATTTTAACCTTATATGATTTGTACCGGCTAGTAGATGAATCATTGCAAACAATTGTTTGCCTGACTGGTGTTCTTCATGAATTTATTGTTTCATGAGGCCGCGGGCCAGTTGAAATGTTAACGCGGGCCGCATTTAGCTCGCGGACTGAACTTTGGGCATCCCTTATCTAGACGGAGTAACATGTGTAGCGGATGATGTGCTGATTTACGGCTCGACCGACCAGGAACGTGACGTCAATCTGCACCACTTTTTGCAGCGTTGTGTGCCAAAGAACATAAAGCTCAAATGCGAGAAAGTTGAGCTCAGGAAACCAGAAGTGATTTTGCATAGGCATGTTCTGATATCCGAGGGAATAAAGGCAGTGCAGGAGATGCCACAACCTGAAGACGTCAAGGCTGTTAGTCGCTTAAATGGCATGGTGAATTATTTGAACCCTTTCTTACTAAGGTCAGTTTAAATCATGACACGTAAGGGTGTAAAGTGGATTTGGGGGAAAGAGCCCAACTCCTTTTAGAGGTGGCAGATGTTAATGTCTTCTGCAGTAGATAGGAGGAGTTTTTGGATTATGCACGAAACAAGGTAAGTTTAAAGTAAGTGACTCCAAAGTCGTTTTCAGACGCTTCGTGCTCGTACTGGAGGTGCGACATGCTGGGTTTGTCGGAAAATCTCACTTTGCCCGCATAGTCGATCGATATCCCGTTCAATCCAGCCAAGTAATTGACCTCACGAGAATACGCATACAAAGCACAGGCGCAACGGCAAGTGAAGAGACAAAGGCCACCATCGAGCATGGTCACTATCCCGTGTGAACGGAGCATCATTCTATACTTTCCCAAGTGATGTTTTATTGAGCTAGCTTTGTCGGCAGTTACTTTTTATGGCTTCTATTTCATGACGCTTTTACAAGACGCATCTATCTTCTATGTATGATACTGAGATGATTTCAGTCATCCACAGAACAGTCTGTACCACTATTTGACTATTGATTGTGCATTTTATTTGCGTTCTGTGTACTTATGCTCTTTCTCAACACTTCGTTTCTTTTCTCTTCAACACAGCATGCCGAGTTAGATCAGCTCGTGCGATCCTTAAGTCACGAACTGACCTCTCGTATGTCTAATGCGCAAACTATTCAAAACAATCCCGGTTGCCTTAAGGGTGTTGAGGCCCAGAGTCTAACCGTCCGTGTGCTTCTGCGCTCTCCAAATGCCCCGAGAGAATCGACCAAATACATGGGTAAGCTGTAGGTACCGACTTTTCCGCCTTTTTGTTCCACTTAGCAGAGGAAGCCTTCGTGGCACCCACACCGTATGGACCATCTTATCACAATTTCAGGTCTGAATCCCCAACAGCAGCGGACAGTTAGTTACATTTATCGCAGCTTTGATACTTCGGCTGAGCTACTGTGTATTGTTTCTAACATGTGCTTCTTTTCCCCATCTGACTGCTTTAATGTTCCTTTGCTATCTGTTCTCAGCTTGACTAACGACGCGAACATCACCTGAGTTGGACCGTTTTCAACGTCTTTTCGTAACCATCTTCGGCTTACTAACCGGGGTATTCGTGATGCTGTTAGTGACGTATTTCTCGATGTTTGCTGTTCTAGTTCTGTTGATAGCCATTGGTGTGTATCTTCATATTGGTGATTAGCAAATGTCAAGAACCCTTATACGATAAACAGTAAATCACTTAAGAGTGGAATGATTTTACTTTTCTCCTAAGTAATATAAAATGCAGTCTCCCCTAGCTTCACATGCTATGGATAGAGCGTCTAGTGAGAGGAAGTCATAACCTAGAGGCTAACCACTGTCATCTGCAAGGGTAGTAACCTGCGTGGCAGTGGAAGATAGGTCGTGCTATATCCCAGTTAGCTTGCAAATTATGTAGCTCAGCCGCCGTCCCCCATGGCTTAAGCTGCTGGCTAGTTGGCGTCATCCTCTAGCTGTCATGGGTTCGATCCCCAGTAGGGGACCGAGGGATGCGCACCACTGACGAGCCCCAATAGGGCGAAACGCGTCTGGTGCTTTTCCGGATTGTGGTTGAGCTATGTAGCTTGTGAGCTGCTGGGACGAATACATTAAAATGGTAAATCGTTGGCTGCATTCGTCCTCCTCCGTTAGCCTCTTTTTCTAGCTTCTGTTCTGATGGAAGATGTTTTGATCACAGATTTTTCTTTCGCCTATTACAGAAAAGTTCCTACAATTATACTGGTCTACGTGGCCTTAATTTATTGAAAGATAACGTTTGGCCCCGTGGACCATCCACAGCGGTTGCCGATCTATCGCGCGCAAATTTTTCTACTTCAGGACCACAAAAACTAAGGTTATTACGTTATTACGCTTCTCTTGATAAGCGTACCGACGCCTCACCCCTCGCTTACACTTCGTATTTGTAATCTTAGCGTTGAAACGGAGCCTGATCACCAACGTCCATAGAAGTGACGTTTGAACAGCCTATCAGGTGGTGTTCTTGCTCCGAAGAGCGACCCGCTCATCTCCCACAATTGAGATTCAAACTTTCTAGATTATTTAAGGCAATTAGTTCTCTTCAGAAACCTGAAAAGCGCGAAAAGACGACGAACACAGGTTGATTTCATCCAAATCACCAATGAGTCGAACTGAATCCTTAAGACTATATAGGCTGTGTTGTTGTCTCATCGGAGTAAGCACTTTCACTAGCAAACGAGCCAATTTATGCGGCAGCGTGTTCATCATTGAAAGAATCTGCCTGAGTGTCATTCCACTCTTATGGGTCTTCGGTGATCCGTATAACTGTGGAGTAGTGCTACCACTCGGCTTCAAACTATTAAATGTGTCACAGTCTATCACGCGATGAAGAACGAGCAATTCAAGGTAACGAACTATGCGCGTTTCGACATTGGTTATATCCCCCACTTTCCTGAGTCGTTCGAATTTGCTCGCATCGTTGAGTACGGGGCACAGTTTCTGATCAGCTTCAGCCTTGCTCATGACCACTGATTTCATTATGACCACATTCTTAGCTGGTAATTCACGTAAGGCTTGAAAATGTCGAGCTGTGAGAGCACATTTTTCACTAATTGGCAGTGTTTTAACCTCGTAGGCGATATCGGTTAACTTTCTGAACCAAATAAGCTTATCAGGACTGACTGGCTGAAGATCCTTAAATTGATCAAAAAAGTTCTCGAATTGGGCTTATATGAACAATCCGTTCACTTTGCTATGAGCGACTTTGTAATCAAGTCGAAATGATAACGCTTCTACTTGCAAGGCGTCAAATTGTACATTGGATAAATTAATCACGTACTTACTGGGATCACGAGCAATTGGTTCCTTCTCTTGGTTGTTCGGCAACAAATTTTCTGGATAAATAGATCGATATCGCCTTGCAGGATCAAGTGGCCCCTTATCCTTCGGTTTGCTGAGGCGGTTGCAATAAACCGGATGAAGCCAGCTCTGTGCGTTCAAAAACAGCCTCAGATGGACATGAACATAGGTGTGAACTTCCGTCACTCACTCTGCACCTTTAGCATGTCTGGTCACACTCAATGCTAGCTATATCTACTAACCTAGTTCCGCTTTCCAGCATCTGTATTACTTGAAATGACCACATTGATTGGTTCATACTACACGTCCTACTCCCAGCTGGTTTTACTCGGCTTACAGCGATATTTCACCGATCTGTGATTCGGAATTGTCCACACTGGTGATTCGAGGACATGCGTGATGCGCCGAGGCTTATGGGTCAACAGTGCTCCTGCATTCGTTATCTTGTGTCTTGCCGCAAACGCTTCTATCCTATGCATATGATTTGTTTCCTTGCTATTTTTCGGTGTATTTTTGCTTACCTTCTCCTCACATTGTTGGTGCATTTCTCATGATGGCGGTCTGTTGCTCTAACCACTGTCGCCTAAACTGTGCCGGACTGTCGGCATACCCGATAGCGCCTACTGCTCACCGTGTGTTTGTGCCCATTTGTCATTGGATTCACGATGCTCATTTATCCTGAATTTAGTTTTGGCATCAGTAGCAGCAACAATGGCAGCGTTGATCTCCATTCGTCCACACGTTGATAGTACATTGCACTCTTGCATTTACTATTCCACTATCGCTTTACTTAACGTGCTGCACTTGGCTCGAATTGTTGATGGTTCTTCTGGCGGGTTTGGTGTTATTGGAGTTGTATTTTTCCCTGTTTGCTAGGCTGGTCTTGTCGATTTTCCAGTTAATCTGCACACGAAATTCTTTTCCTTTACACATTTCCTCACTTTAAATGTTGTTTTTTCGTATATGCTCTGGCCAGCTTACACCATTCTACCTATATGTCACTTTATGTTAACGTTTCGGTCCACTCTTTTTGAAAAGCACATCCCCGTTTCTTCCGCTTTGTATTTTGATTCGTTTTTTATTACTCACCCCTTACTAATTTTGTTTGCCCGGTTGCATGCAACCGCGTTCACTTATACGTTGCTCATGTTCACCGCTATAGGCAAGCTACCAGCGTACGCATGCTGAGGTTTTTTTCCATTTTTACCTTGGATGTTTGTTTCATCATGTTTGCAATTATGCTGGCATTTTACCGTGTGGAATTTATTACGTTGGTCTCTTACCCGGCTTTCTGCTTTTCATTGAATCTATCCAAAGGTCACGGAGTTTGCGACAGCTCGAGTCGCACGCATACGTTTTCCGAGCCCACGGCGGATGTGGAAACAATACACCGCACTACGCTTTCCATTCTTCGGCATCTGTGTCCAGATCCTCGCGAATTACGTGGCGTGAGCTTTTCTTTTGTCTCACTATGACTTGCATTTGTTTATAACAAGTCCTCTCTTCACTTAGCCAATCGCTTCCTTGATCTCAATAACTCCGCTCCGTCGATAGTTGAACGAAATCCCGGTGTTCTCTCGTGATCATCTTATCCATATACCCTCCAGTAGCTTCTTCGAACCGTACTCAAAATATCAGCTATTCGAACGAGTGGAACATCCGAGCTATGTAGCCCTCTAATTGCAGAGGAACTGGGCGGTTATTCGTACTCTGTTGGTGGTGAGATACATTAGTTTTCTAATTTCTCTCCCTACCTACGACCTGTCAAAGTGGTTTCAAGCTAACGCACGCCAACTGTGTCTGCTTTGGATCGCATTTGGCTTGCGTTGTGCTGCCCACACACCAAACTTCCAGAGTCGGCTGGATTTACTTCGTCACATTCTCGCGAGTCTTCACTTATTCGTAAATCTATTATGACACATTGTGTATAATTACAATTGTGTAACCACAGTTTAATAATATGATTTATTGCGTCCACCGACCCTAAGTTTTGCTGCACAGACTGTTCGTTTACACAGTAAATTGGATTACTATCTGTCCTTACCGCCTTAAGATTAATTGAATAAATTGCGAGTAATAAATGGATGAATTTTCTGCGATTGAACTGTTACAGTATATGGATAATTCAAAGCTTCTAGCGTCTACTGAGCAGCTGTCTGCAGCGTTACGTAGAATTGGAGAAATGGAACAGTGTCTAGACGCCATCCTTTTGTAGGAAGAGAATGTATTGCTAACTGGCATTGTTACACTGGCTACTCAGTCAGATTATCCTAGATGCAAACATGACTTCGCCAGTCTTTCCGGTGCGCACGCTGACAAACGTTTTACAACCATCCTAGCCATGAAGCAGTGAATTAAGTGACGCGCCTCCCGTTCAATCTCCCTCGATTCGACTCATTTCCAACCAACTGGTCGACATAGCGGGTCAAATGTGACTGCTTTTAACGCTGGTACGTTGGGCAACCTGTCTGGACTGCCAAATAAGGAATACTGCCTTTTGACGGTGATCCCTTGCGTTGTTGCTCCTTTATACGGAGCTTCCAAGCGAACGTGATGAGTTCAACGAGAAACCCGTAGGTACGACTCTCTTACCTGCTAAACTACTTTGATGAACAGCAAGCGAAGCCATCGAGAGTTGTGGAGTAATGGTACCGGAGTAGGGACTCTGAGATGCACTTGAAACGTTGAAGTCCAGGTTCTGGCGCCCACACTTGATAACCAGGGTCCACCTCGATCATATAGTCAATCGACTCCTTATAAGGGCCAGCTGGACAAATGTAGGCCTGTCTCAGTACGCTGCAGCAGCTAAAGTACCAAGCTGATTTGAACGCGACAGTGACAGTAGCAGCAGAATGAATGGTTCAAGAAGGCAGTGGGCATCCTACAAACATGCATAGATTCTGCTTTCAAAAGTTATATCAGCTTGTTTGTGAGTGTGCTGAGATCGCCTCCACCCAAACGATGTACGCATATGGGATGACGCATAGGTGTGAAGGCCCTCAGAGTTCGAACAGTCCTGAGCCTCGACGTAAGGGATGCAGCTGTTTCGAAAGCGTCTACCTACGTGCGTAAGTTGTATGCAGATTCATTACTCGGATCAATGTCCTCGGTTTGTACCAATAAATGATGTTGTACATCTGTCACTCGTAACCTAAAAAAGCTAGTGTGAATTATGTCTGAAATCGAAACGTCAATCAACTTTAAATTCCGGTTTGATTGTGGACTAGATAGTTGCCATTTGAAGCACCACTCCCTGCTGCACAACGCTAAGGCAGTATGAACACTTCCACGTGCATTTGTAAATGAGGTGACAGAGCCTTTAAGTCAAGTGAGCTTGGCTCTACTCGATCCCGACTCGCATGGCTCATTGATTGAAGAGCAACTACTGTTTGAGCTTCATCTGCAAACAGAACCGCAAGTAATTAGTACGTCTACCGTTAATAGAGAACCAAGCGTGCGCTCACAGGCGGTGAAATTAGAACTACTCTTAAACAGAGGTGAACCCATATTCGTGGACCACGCCTGGTCTGTTCAGATAATGCTTCCAGTAAAACGAGTAATACCAGGGTCGAAATACCTACAGCGCTGAGAACAGTTGAAAGATTTTTGTTTCGTGGGTAGTTGAAATCAATGAGTACTCGAGCAGCGCTATGGAAGACCATCGGAACCGTTTCCCGTGCGGACACTGTAGGGCTGGTTTCTGTTAGAACCGGTTGGAGAATAAGACGCACAGACAGCCTGCACAAACACTCTTGCTGCGGAAGATCGCAACTCCACCTTTCTCATGCAGACGTATGAGATAGAGTTGACTGAACTTCGTGACTCGCGGCTTGGACTGTCCATTGGAGAGGAGCACGTGCTGTAGCAGATGCAAGCATTCACCACCACTACTAACGGTCTTCCATTGCAGCGTGAGTGTCCCAAGCTTCCAAACAACTATCCTGTGTTCTAACTTAGACTGATGCTGCTGCTACGAAAGCTCATTCCAAATGCTGAGTTGCATCAGATGTATAAGGCAGCTGTCGACGAATAGATATCGAAAGGCTCTGCAGAAGTAATTGCTACAGGACCATTTATCCACAAAAGCGGAGCCTAGTATATGCATCAGCATGGCGTCACGCATTCCAACAAACCAGACAGATTTCGCAGTTTCCAATTGCGCAAGCACCTATTAAAATACCTTCATATATATACCATTTTCACTTTAAACTGGACATTTTGCAAACCAAACTGGACATTTTGCAAACCAAACTGGACATTTTGCAAAACAAATTGGACACGTTGCAATCTAAGTAGCAACTCGCCAATTTGTTGTTAAGAAACGAGCAGTAAGACTGCTAAATGATGTTCAGAATATACATTGTGATGACGCTAATACACCGGCATTGTGTAAGCAGCGGGCTACACTGTAAAACCTTTGCTTGATCGTGAGCAGCGACCCAAGTTCTGAACTACGCTCCCCTCTCCCCATTGACATTCGCCTAGTTGGTGTGCAGTGCCCATACGCATCAACCTGTGTAGGTGTGTGACAGTTGGAAAATCGGACGTCCGAATCGTAATTGTGTATCAATCATTTTGTGAGTGGATTGCGATGCGCAATCTCAATGTGCACCGTTATTCTCATTAGAGGGAACCTTGTCCGATTCAGTCAATGGGACCATGTCGGATGAAGCAGGTAGGCGGTGTCCCAGCTTCGCCCGTCTCTCTATTAGCTTTCGCAACTGCCACGTTATTGTATCAGCGTAGGCTGTAATGACCCCCAGCAAATGCAGTCTAGATCTATAGCCTATTGTTGCAACATATCAACTACTGAGGAGTGGGCCGATTACACGATGTTCAGGCCACATTGTGGTCACGATAATGTAACCGAACTGCGTACGTAGCGCTTGATTGTGTAAGCCCTTCTCTTGACATGAGTGCCGTTCGCCTCGGTCAAAATCGGTGACCTATTTTCCCCTACACCCCCCCCCATAGGAATTCGTGTGTTTTGTCTGGGTGTGTGGACCGACCTATGCAGCGGTACCACAATTGGAGCGGAGCATACGATAATGGTTCCACTCAACACAACTTGGCTTTATTAGCTCCGTGCCGCACGAAACGACCAAAATGAGTGACGAACAACAGGAGAGCTGGTGTCCGACGCGACGGCACTGCAGGCGAACATCTTTTGCGCAAAGAGAAATTCTCACAAAACTTGTGCTGGTCGACGGCAAAACTACTCGGGAAGCCGCTGAAGTCGCCGATGTTAACGCGAGTACGGCAAGGAACATCATTAATGCCTACAAGCGAAAAGGCTCAAATACACAGGATTCTCCTTAGCTCATCAGGCATATGGATCCTGGCATTGTCCATGATCAGCCACGCGCCGTTCATCTCCACTACGCAGCTTATACGCGTCACCAGTTCCTCGACGAACGCTGAGAACTTCGCACCATTGCAGGTGCCATCGTTAATGATCTTTGAATGGATGACGCCTTGATTATTCATTGCAACAATCAGGGTTACCATGCGACCTCTGACTGTGGGTAACACGACGTTCGCGCGTCCCTCTTCTTGAGCGAGCCTGAGTTCGCCTCAGATGAAGGTTGAAACCACTCTCATCTATGAAGATGCATTTCTCCTTGTTAGAAGGTGCATTTGCCGAGAACTCGAGAGCGTACGCCTGTCGGCTAGCGATTGTCGTGGCACTGTTGACTCGGTCGAGCTCGTAATGACACTTTTTGAGAGTTATCTTTAATCTTCTGAGGGCGTTGAAGACAGAGGATACTGATAGGTTTATCCCATTCTCTCTCAGGCGCATCTGCAGCTGCACCAACGTGTCCTCAGAGTGTCGTTCAACCGCTTCTTCGACGCGCTGCAATACATCGGGAGTCAGCTTCTCCCTATTGTTTCCACCGCAGGTGCGCTGTGTATTTGAGCCTTCTCGCTTGTAGGCATTAATGATGTTCCTTGCCGTACTCGCGTTAACACCGGCGACTTCAGCGGCTTCCCGAGTAGTTTTGCCGTCGACCAGCACAAGTTTTGTGAGAATTTCTCTTTGCGCAAAAGATGTTCGCCTGCAGTGCCGTCGCGTCGGACACCAGCTCTCCTGTTGTTCGTTACTCATTTTGGTCGTTTCGTGCGGCACGGAGCTAATAAAGCCAAGTTGGGTTGAGTGGAACCATTATCGTATGCTCCGCTCCAATTGTGGTACCGCTGCATAGGTCGGTCCACACACCCAGACAAAACACACGAATTCCTATGGGGGGGGGGTGTAGGGGAAAATAGGTCACCGATTTTGACCGAGGCGAACGGCACTCATGTCAAGAGAAGGGCTTACACAATCAAGCGCTACGTACGCAGTTCGGTTACATTATCGTGACCACAATGTGGCCTGAACATCGTGTAATCGGCCCACTCCTCAGTAGTTGATATGTTGCAACAATAGGCTATAGATCTAGACTGCATTTGCTGGGGGTCATTACAGCCTACGCTGATACAATAACGTGGCAGTTGCGAAAGCTAATAGAGAGACGGGCGAAGCTGGGACACCGCCTACCTGCTTCATCCGACATGGTCCCATTGACTGAATCGGACAAGGTTCCCTCTATTGAGAATAACGGTGCACATTGAGATTGCGCATCGCAATCCACTCACAAAATGATTGATACACAATTACGATTCGGACGTCCGATTTTCCAACTGTCACACACCTACACAGGTTGATGCGTATGGGCACTGCACACCAACTAGGCGAATGTCAATGGGGAGAGGGGAGCGTAGTTCAGAACTTCGGTCGCTGCTCACGATCAAGCAAATGTTTTACAGTGTAGCCCGCTGCTTACACAATGCCGGTGTATTAGCGTCATCACAATGTATATTCTGAACATCATTTAGCAGTCTTACTGCTCGTTTCTTAACAACAAATTGGCGAGTTGCTACTTAGATTGCAACGTGTCCAATTTGTTCTGCAAAATGTCCAGTTTGGTTTGTAAAATGTCCAGTTTGGTTTGCAAAATGTCCAATGTGATTTGCAAAATGTCCACTTTGGTTTGCAACATGTCCAGTTTGGTTTGCAAAATGTCCACTTTGGTTTGCAAAATGTCCAGTTTGGTTTGAAAAATGTCCAGTTTAAAGTGAAAATGGTATATATACACGCCCCATGCTGAGGCTGATGTTGCATTCATGATGCTTCTTCACCGCAGTTGGGCTAAATCAAGTTACACTTAAACTAGGTCTTTTTAAGCTGGATAAATTTCATTCCAATTTATTTGATTTACTCTGCCTACCGGAATAATCTTCTATTAACTTTTCACGTTGCTTACGGTAATTATGCTTATTGTTAACTTCATTGCGTTTGTAGCATTTTCTGAGTCACTTCTGGACATTTTGTACTTATCGCCGATGCGTTGCTAACCAACATACTTCATATACTAATTTAGGGAAGAGTTATGTCTGCATAGCCGTAGTCTTTAACAGGTATATTTTCTTTGTTACTGTCATTTCAAGTGATTGGCTGTTGCTTGATATCCCCGGTGTGGCTGCGCTTGATGTGCATGTTGACAAGGTGCCTACCTGTCTATTACTCACCACCTCGTCCATACTGGCTGTAGGAGCTAGTTGGACGTTGGTGGAGGGGACAGGGTACACGGTCCTCGTGGCTGTGTTAGGCTCGAAGAGTGGTTCCATGCACTCAGTGTGGAGCGGGCTACGGTCCAGCCACCATTTTGTGTGCGCTTGATTCCCAAATACAGCATGCTTGTATTTACCTGTGAAGGAGTGTGGGCCGGCTCAGTTGATGAAACGTGGTTTCCATCCACATGCCTCCCGGTCTTATTCCTTCGGGTTTACACTGGATATATGGTGTGTGGTTGGAGCTGTGCGTGGTGCAGCGCAAGCCATCCATGGCCCCTCTGTGGGCACAGGCGTCCTGTGGCTGACCATAGTGACAGGCAAATCCGAAACCGGATGCCGCCAACCATGTGTTAGTGGGCATGGTGAGTGAGCGTGTGAAGTTTGACTGAATTCATGGGTTTTTTTGCTGTTCGCCATAGTATGAAGGGATCAGAGTGACTCTTCGAACTGGATGACGTTCGTTAAGTGATGTAGATCCTCCGGAAGTGGGAGAGGCAGTGACTTTAGTTAGTGCGAGTCACGTCAGCTACGTCGCAGTGTTGTGAAACGGACCTTTGTGGCTTTTTATGTGGAGAACGCTCGCCAGGCGAAAACCAACCACGTCCTGGAACACTGCCACCGAACTATTCGCTGGAACGGGATTCACCCGGACAACCCAGCTGACACCACCTTGAGGTCGTTCGGCTAGTCAGCCAACTCGTCATCCTCCACTGATAGCAGCAACTCATCGTTACCCTATACTAGTGCATCATAGTTACCTTCAATGTCCTACGCACAACTTGTAATATTCTTGGATGAAATCTTCGCTTTTACTCATATTGGACGCAGGTCTATTAGAAGCAGAAATGGGACGGTTTACTGCTCCTACACATTCCCCACTAAATTCATGGTGCTGATTTGTCATCTGTATGTCCTCTCTTATTCTTGCGACAGCTTGGGCTCCAAGTAAACCGGCTCTCTCCTCCGAGTAGTACCGAACGATCTTCCGCGTTAACCCATCTGGAGCGTTACACGATCGCTCCGAACTTGGCGACGATCCCTCAGACAACTGTTGCAGCCAGCCCAATTTTGGCTACAGACTGTAGTCCGGAGCCCTCACCTTCCCACGATTCCCTCAGTCCCTTCGTGCCATGTCTCACCCCAATACATTTATTGGTTCAGAAACGACACAAACCACTGCGGATCAAACCTCATCGAACTATTCGGCAAGTGCTTTGTTTCCTCTATATCATTAGTCTGCCCTGTTTGGTGCGATGCACTCAGCATAAGGCCCTATTTGGGGTTTTAATCCTCTCCAGATTTTATCACTGGCCTTGGAAGTCGCTAACGAGTAATGCTGCAGATACGCAAGGGCTTGTCATTACCACTGACACAGAATAATTGGCTGCTTACATGGCCACTTGATCGCGCAGTACGTGCGAGGCCGTTGAGTGACACATCTTTTACGCATTTGTCCTTCATGGAACATCGAGCTCCTCAAACTTATAGGCCCATCTTGCGCAAACAGTACATGCAATTTGTTATGATGTGGGGCTAGCTTCCGCTCAACACACCCATCCGCCATCAGGATCTCTCGCTCGCTTGAGACAGAGGATGGGGTAAGTATATTTCTAAACCTTGTCCTTTTGGCACTGACCTGCCAAGCAAGCCAACACTGGGGCCTACTACAGAGGGCGTTTAATCGGTTTAATCCTACCACCCCTGTGTCGATAACCCTCATGTATGGTCGATCCGAATTGACGCGATTGCCTTTTTGTGGGCCATTGCTCACCAATTTGTTGCACATTGTTGAGCTTACATCCATTCGACTCGCATCTATCAGCTCTACAAGATGCCTACCAGTCTTCCGGATTATTCTTATCGTTTCAACACCTTATTCACGCCCGCGTTTGTGACAAATTTTGTTGCTGAAACTCATCATTGTAATAATTCAGTTTCACACTCGTTCGGAAGATCTTTCTTGAGGTGATCAAGTCAAACAGAAGTCATTCTTCTTTAATACCATTTGTTACAGTTACTTCGCATTACTTACTACGTTGTTTCTTACCCAGCATTCATTTGGAATTGATCGATTCCCCAAAGCCAATCGCCACTTCTTGTGACCTTGTCAACCACCGTGCCAGCGCAACCGCATCACCCGCTCCATTGCCCCTTCTAATCACCGCTCATCTGACGGGTGTGCGCAAACGACCAAAGTCACGACAAGGTCTGACGCATTCAATCCGCCGGCCGTCAGCCATCTCACCTAGTGTGCGTATTCTTACGTGCTTGTTTATCACAAGACACTCATCAAACTTAAGTGCCATTACCACAGCGACCGCTCTGGCCAGAGCAATGAATGTTAAATGGTCGCTTATTTTGATCAGTTCATGAAAGAAACAGTTTTGGCTGTTGCCCTTAAAACTAGCTTCCAACAAAGCATTTCAGCATAAAAACAGTCTTTTCAGCTCTGCGTTTCACATTAGGAATAATGGCGGCTTGGTGGGCGAGTTTATGTCCGATTTCATTTTAACCCAACAAAGTTCGTTGCAAGTATACCAATACTGCCGGGAATTTCTAGTTCCTTGAAAACCTGTGATGCCTAAAGAGTACCGGCTACCGCGTAGTCTATTCTCACGTTACCCTCTTGTTCGCCTCAGTATATCACACATTGGCCATGTGCTACAACCACACGTACCTTTGCTATCATGTAGCGGCGTTTTTTTTACTGAAGACTAGATTACAGCAATTTTTTCTGTGTGGGCGGCGTTGGCTAAGATGCAATCAGGTGCGTAACCGTCGCCCATCTAGAAGCTCAAACGGTGGACGGTGTGTGATTAAATGCAATACTGCTGTTTGGCTTGGAACCTCCAGAAACGGAAGCATACTAAGAGCAGCTGCGCACTGGGTCTCCCTACTTCCAAAGCGACCGCTAAAGCACAGTTTCTTGAGATCACCTGGGTCATATAGGCTAAGCGCATTGACACATTTCGGTACCCGAACGGAGGTCTCTGCCATCTTCGATTGGTTCCTCCTCGGATTTGTAAGCATTATCATGACAAGCAAGTTATGGTCGTGTTAAGCACAGTTGCTTTGAAGCATATGGTTTTTACGTGTCAGCGACACAGAACGCTCTTAAAATTTTGTACACCCCGACCCGCTATTGACACCATCCACCCGTGGACCAATTTAGTGTTAGAATCATTTGTAATCGAGGATAAGTATATTTATGGAAACGGTGTTAAACAGTTATATATATATATATATATATATATATATATATATATATATATATATATATATATAATCAGCGAGTGGGATGCTCAAAGTGTCCACCGTCGTTCTGCATGCAGTGAAGAAATCCGTTGATGCAGTTGGCAAGCACTTTTTCTTATGTCTCGGTCGTGATAGCACGACATTCGCTCACGATGTTATCTTTCAGTTGCTCCACTGAATCCGGCTTGCTTTTATAAACCATTCGTTTCGAATAACCTTTTCGACTGATCCAACAATGACCGAATTTCTCGCTAGCGTATTCACAAACCATTTGGGCGTAATGTGCTGGTGCACCATCCTGTTGTCACCAAATGGTACTGCATACCCCGTCGGCCTCCAGTGGTGGAAGTACGCAGGTTTGGAGCATTTCCCTGTAGGATGATGCTATGAAAAGTAAGTAATAGGTACTACAAAACAACAGCTTACCGGTCACATTCCTAGAAAATAAAACGGTCCATCGATTTTCCGACCATTTATTCCAGTCCAAACTATGAGCTTTGCGCTGTTTTGAATACGTGAGGCCGTGGTCGGCGTGGGTTAGATACAGCCAAAAAATGCTGTTTGTCTATTTCGTGCAAATGAAATTGCTTCATCAGCGAAAATTATGGAGCGAATGTTCATGTGACCCAAAAACCAACGGCAAAATACACTCCTTTTATCCAGATCGTTGGGTTCAAAACCTGAACTTGTAGTGCAACAAACTTGAAAATTTGCTTCCTTTAAAATCATGTGAACCGCGTATCGGATGGCGCCACAATGCTGCGCGATTCTACGTCCCTCTTGGATACTTCACGGATTACGACACAAGCTGGAAATTCATCCGTGCGTATGCGAGGTCGCCAGGTTTTCCTGGCGTTGCACAAACTCCCAGTATTATCGAACTTTTCACCACTTTTAGCACGGAACGGCCATTGACGGACCACATTCCAGCGTTGATAGTGTTGTATCGTCGAACGGTTTTGCAGCGTTTGACTCGCACTCACCATATAGACAAAGTATAGGCCCGCGCTGGTCATCGGCCGCGCAACGTAATTCAGGTTGGAGATAAGTGGCCGATGGGAGTGTTTGCTTGTGCTCCGTTGCTGAAATATTGATCAAATAATAAATGACAAGAATCACATTGCTTATCTTACATCACTGACCAACAGTCAGACTGCTAACCTGCGTTGTCTGTGCCTCATCTCTCGTTTCAACCAGCATGGCCTAACGACGTCCCGCCAAATAAGCTTCTCGGGTGCTCTGGCTTAGTTTGCCAAGAACGAACGATATTCGACATGCTGCGCTGCGACCGAAGCTACCGATCCTTCGACTGTCTCTTGTCTCTCTGTGCCCATCTCTCGACCGACTGACTCTGTTGCAGAGTTATCATCCATGCCATTTTTCTTTAGAAAAATCCATGGCTTCGCGCGAACCGAACGCAGGTGCATGCTTGCGCGCATATTCTGGCCATCACAAATTGCCGATTGGATAGTCGGACAAGCGTTACGTATGTATGAGGTTCCGTATACACGCCCTGAGTGCGTCATCCAAAGGTACGATTTATGGCGGGATTACGAGAACCGGTCCAAACATATTGGACACACTGTAGCTTAAGAGTTGCCACTCGTCGCTGAATAGAAGTTAGAACGCCAAAGCGCCACCACCACACACCATCAACCCATATACTATCCATGCAAGGTTTATTATAGCTATCGTCATTGGCTGATTTGGGCCATGTCAATTCCAGGACAGTGCGCGCATAGTGCGTAACAAAGGTACTGAATGCAATTCAAATGCGTTAACAACCAAGTTCAATTGGCTTACGGATGCAACTCAGATTGTTAAGGAGCAATTCAATTACACTATGGACGCAAGAATTCGGGAAAAGGTGTAGTGGTAGTTACAGGTAATATATTTTGATTGCTTGGGCGGTGACGCAGTTAATATAGTCCTTAGGTAGACTAGTTGGGCCATAGCAAACCAGGTGTGTCAGCTGTCAGATTAGTATTCAATAGGGTGAGAGGGTACGTGATAAAACCAAACTGCTCTGACTTGAAACCGACGCACTGCACGCTGGTTTCAGTTAACACGATCGTCTAAACACCACACGGTCAAATGACTGCCAATGTGAGTTGTAATCCTGTTGACTGGCTAGAGGGCCGAATGCGGCTAGACGACGCAGTTGACACAAAAGCAAGGTATATCGATCGTCGGCGATCGAGTAACTTGGTCAGCCGATGCGGTCGGCTAACCGACGCGAGAGTTGACTATCTAGACATGGAAACAGCTAGCAGTTGTAAAAGTAGCTACAACTACCGAACGGAATGCCAGAAATCGGTAGGACAGTTTAGGTGATGAGGCGACGGAGTAATACCTACTCTTGGCGATCCACTGGATAGAACGGGTAATTCCGATTCGAATGTATGGAACTTGGTTGTATGATGAAAAAGATAGGGAAAATCCACTACAAAGCGGAGCAGTGATTGAAAAGTTTGGCACATTTTTCGCAAAACCGTTATATATCCTTTTAAACTTTTTTTGGGGGGGGGTAAGACCACACAAAGAGAAATTGAATGGTATATAATAATTCACGCTCCGTTGAAATCGCACATTAGTAAGTAAAATGTATACATTTCTCGGTGTTATACGAGGCACGTCAACAAGGCATGATCAAATAGAAAACACACAGAAAGTCAGAGCTTCGGTTTTACGTCCGCCAACCAGTGGAATCGAAGTTGGGTCCTCCGAAAAACACTTGAGATCTTTAAAGCACTCCGGGGTATAAAAAGCTAACCTCACTCATATTCATACGGACGAACTTCCAAATGTAAATGCATACTTAAACCGATCTATTGTTCGAAAGCACTGACTTGATATAACCCCGCGAGCTACTACTTAGTCTTTAATATCCGATTCAGGGTTTTGTTTTTAAATCTATTTATTTTCTTCCCCGAAACCCATTCATTCTGCCAATACGGACAGCTCGTGTCGATCGATAATGCACTTTTCTCCATCGACGCTAGTTCTCTCGCTCTGAAAGGTCTACCACAGATAGTAGTGTAGTTTCGGTCTTCCAGAGAACTTATTGTTGACATTGAGACCTAAGAACACATTGCGCTGCGTATTGTGTCACTTCAGTAAATCAAGCACTCACTCTGCTTTAGACGGTGCTACGCAAGTGCGTCTTGTGGTGCTTAGGTTGGGACTGTCATCTGCTAAAGCGCTACTTTGGAGGTGATCGCTTCTTATTAGCCTACTAAGTTAAATGTTTAGTGAGCTATGGTTAACTTCGGTGGCTATGCGTCGGTTAGCAATTTTCTGCGTTAAAACTTAATTGTTCTACGCAGCTCGCTTCTGTCGTTATAATTAGTGGGGGGAGCAGAAGTGACTTGTGGGGTCGACACAGCAACCAGCCACTCCGAATAGATTGCCTGAAACTTAATATCAATGGTAAGGATTTGCATTCCCTCCACGCAAAGCAATGGCTTATTGTGATCACACCATGTGAAATAATCTCGAAATTCTGAAGGTCTTTGTTGTACACTCGGTTTTTTGGGATGCTTCTCCGTCCTCAGCTGTTTATACTACGGTTTATCATTGTTTTTCTTCTATCACGCGATTTTTTCTGGTCCACTGAGCAATGTGCCTGCTAGGCTACTGAAACACTAATCACGATGTCGCGGAATTCCAAATCCAACTATGTTAACAATGTACTGTTTTCAAAGTGCGCACATCTAGTGTTCGCCGTTACCGGTCATTCGCTCCATAATATGCCAAACTGATACACATCTAGGTTGGGTCGATTTAAATACGAAACCGTGCGCACGCATACGGACATGCGTTTCGTCATTCGTCGCTTACTTTTTGCTGGATCCTAGTTTTATCCTCCGACATCTGTCCGCGTCTTATAATTACTCCATCTATTTGTATATGCTTGCATTGCATTTCCTGTGCCGTTGTTACCACTGAAGTTGCGAGTGTTACAGCTGAACATTCACCCTACCTGGGTGCATAAAACAAGTCCTTGGCCTGACTTGAGGCTCGTGGTGCTACCGCTTTCTGTGCTTCGCATAAGGAAACGCTGCGATGTATTGGTGCGTTTCGGGATAACAGATTCACAACAGAAAAGACCCTCAATACCCTGTTGTTTTCGCATTTATTTCCACTTTTACAGCTATCTCGCTTCTTCCCGGTATTCGCCTGTCATCCGAAGTGCTGTTGACCGCTCTAGCGATGTTACATGGTGTGCATGGAGTTTGACCATTATTTCTGCTGGTATTCATCAATGCGATATCCGTTTTATAATTCAGTATTTAACAGGCTATTGGTTGCTTTTTGTTTATCCTTATTCTTCTCACTGCATTCGATGGGTTTTAGGTCTGCACTTAGCATTAACTCCGATAACGTGCCTCGTGCCTTCGAAATCGAACCCACATACGATGAAGATGTGGATTCTGAGACCACGAATAAGTTGGCCAGCGCGAACACTTCAACTCGAGTAAGCCGTCTATAATCCTATTGCGATATTGAATGGTGGGCTGCTATCGCATGTTACCCATTCGCGTACATTTTTTCATTGACAATATATCCACAGTATACTCTGCAACAATTTCGGCAGATTATATTACTTCTCAAAATGCTCAGCCCTACGCTCCAAACTTTTTAATAAGCTGTGAATAGGCTGTCCACTCTCGTCAAATTATTTCACTAACATCAGGTCTCCTGCTGCCCGTATCGGACGGAATAACTTACGATGCTTACCAAGGGCAGCGGTCACTTTCATCTCTGGCGCACGATGAGACCACCAAGATTCTCGGGCTCTCTTCATGCTAGCACGGAGTTTTGTCTGGAGCTCTTTGTGACTCTCATTGTGTTCGCTTTCAGCCGAAATGCGCCGGCGAGCATCGATAAGTTCTGAAGACCGCAATCAGACCCAATGTCCATGTTGGCTATTAGACTTACCACATGAGGATTTGCCTGCTGCTAGTAAGGTCTGGTGAACATGCGACCAGTGACCTACAATTGTATCCAGTAAGCGCTTACCCAACTCGCATGTCAGAGTATTTCGATAAGCATTCAGAACAGCTGGCTTCGCCAGTTGACAAGTATTGGCTAGCAGTCCGGTAACATCAATTTGCACTCTGAGGGTGCGAAGCGCATGCCAAATGAGGAGATCACTGTATACGGTTCATATAGGTTTAACTGAGCCGCCCCAACATCGTGAGATAACAAGACAACACTGTCCGCATAAACAATGTCAACCTCATTGCCACCAGACAATACCTTAGCCCCCCATCGTGAGATTAGGCAAGTAAACACGCCATGATTGTACCCACAATGAGATTGAACAAAAATGGGAAATTGGACGACCTTGACGAATGCCACTTGTTGTCGGAAAGATATCTGACAGCTCACCGCAGACCTTAACGCAGCCCGTGGTGTTCGAGTACAGGGCACGTAAAATGTTCACAGATTTCATGGGAACATCTATTAGCGCAAGTAGTACTTTGAACAGAATGCATCGGTCGACTGAGCCGAACGCACACTTGATGTCGGGGAACACAGCTATTGTCGGTCTGTAGCACGTGTGACAGTGCTCTATCACCTGCCGCAGAGTGAATGTGTGCCGCGTCCTGGGCGGAAACCTACCTGCTCTCTCCTAATCCAGGATCCCCGTTTCGCAGTGAGACGACGAACGAGAATTGTCACAACCTGTGTTAAGCTAATACCCCAGTGATTAGCACAGTCAGTGCGACTGCCCTTGCCACTATAATCGATTCACTCCAGTTAGCCGGGACAATCCCTTCCATACATGTTCGAACAAGTAGCTCAGTGCTTTGCAGAATTGAGGCTAGTAATTGTCACAACCTGTGTGTTTAGCACATTCGGTGCCACTACCCTTTTTGTATAGTGCCACTATAATCGTTTCTCTGCATCTAGCTGGGATGGCCTTTGCCGTCGACTTGTTCGAACAGCGAGATCCCCTTAGTTGAGGACCTCACCAGCATCCTTAAATAATGCGGATGTGATAGAATCCGAGAGGGATTAAGGAATGTGATCGCGTGTCGGACCTCAGCCTCCGAAGGAGCCTCTAAACTAACGAGCCATGGCTCAAACAGCACCACCTGAGTGTGAAGTGGTCCGAAAGCAGGGGGCCAATTGAAATGATATCGAAAGTGCTCCGCCCAACGAACCATATGGCTCTCCTTATTGTGGATCAGGACACGCGCGCAGTCTGTGGTTGTATCGCTGACACCTGGCTTCTTAGGATCAGTGGTGCGGATCAGTTGGAAGGGTTTGCGATAATTGCGTACTGTTCCAGCATCCTCCATTTCTTGTGCCCTAACAATCCACCAGGATTCCTAAAAGTCCGTCTGGTCATATTGTGTTCATAGCGCCGTTGCGGACGTCCGTGGAAACACAACTGCAGATCGGCGCAGCAAAACCAACTTTCTGAGGGGCATACTCGCACCCCCTGACACGATGTCTAACTTCACCGTTGCAGATGCGTTGTTGCCAACACACACGAACAATTCTCCTCAAGTACACATTATCGAAGATCGAGAGCCGGCGCATGTCATCTACGCAAACTGACCATGACTCACTGCAATATAGCAACACCGCCCGAACGGTGGCATTGTGGACATGACCCTTTATCAAGAGGAAGACGTCCCGACAGGGGATGGTTGACCGCCAAGTGGTCTCTTCCACTCGAGTCCTACACGAGCAAACAGAGCGCGATAGAGCAAACGCTCAGCTGACATACGCAAGACGTAAAGAAAAGGTGAGGCCAAGCAATGACTTGGTTAAGAGGAATGAGGACTCTCACTTCGAAGTTGGCCTCGGGTGGAACCACTGGGTTCCCTGTTTGGGGTCCGAAAGACGATGAACACGTTTAGTTTGATACCCTTGCTGATATGGCTAGAAAGCGAACTCTGGCGTTCGTGTTACGAGTTTCTTTGTCCCCTCTCCTCCTCCAATCACGGTCTCATTTCCTATGCATAATATAACTCTTTTTTCGCGGCGAAATAGCCAGCTCTCCGGAACAATGCCCATCCGTTACCGTTGACTCAGCCCTCGTGCCTCTGTCGCATTCTTTTTTATGTATTGCGGCACAGCAGCTGAGGTATCTTCCACCTCTAGCTAAAGTGTATAGTGGTGATGATGATACTGATACTGATTAGAAGCAGCGAGTAGAGCATACTCTGTGTAGCTGCATCAATTGTCGCTCTTGGACATTAACTTACGAATTATCGTTCCGCTTTTCATATTTTGCCTCTGCAAAGTGTTTGTCTAGACGCTTCTTAAATTCGGCCACCGAATTCGCCTCTATTACCGGCTGCGGCAGGTTGTTCCAGGTATTCACCACTCTACGTTCGAAACAGAGTTGGTGAGCTACCCGCTTCAACTGCGGTACGATAAGTTTGTACCGGTGTCAAAAATGGGACGATAAGGCATAAAACGGGTAATAAAAGGCGGGAAGGTTTGAGCAGTAGCATCCAAACCCCTATCCACCCTGTTCGATGCAGCAGGTAGGACACCATTGATTATAGTCTGCGATGACCAGAACAGCAAGAAATCTTTGAAAAGGAATTCATAGTATTGCGTGGGCAGGATACTGTCAAGCTGCGCAGGCTTAGACGGGGGAACGATTAGGGTTCTCAACCAAAACTTGTAGTTCAAAACCTGACTGAAAGGTAACAGGGTTTCGGCAATAGGCTACAGAGTCCGTTTTATAGAGTAATTAGCCATTCTCATTTCAACCCCCAATCTGGAGGGCCAGGAGATTGTTTATCAGGCCTCTAACCATTTATCAATCTGGTGTGAGCAGATCTGAAGGTGCAAATAGCACCACCCAGCATAACCCAACGGGTCGCCGAGGCACGCAAACCATCGCACCAGGCTAAAGTCCAGTCTCGCCGCAATGGAAATACGTCCACCACTGGTGCTTAGAAAAAACGTATGCAGCTCTTGCACTTATTGGCACTAGGATAAAACAAGCCCGCCGCTACCCTACAGCACCCGTTGCTGCTAAATGATTAACATAGTGGCAGTTAAATCAGCCTGTCGTTGGAACTCCTTTGAGTTAAGCCACCACGGGACATGGTACGGTAAGCTGAAAAAGCCTCCTTCATTGGTAAGTAAATGTACCACTCTATAAATTCACCTAATGTACCTATGCTTATAGTGTTCACTAACTACTACAATTTTATTCCATTAGGACCTGTGCGATTCTAGTGGAGCTCCAAGTTCTTTTGATGCCAGGCGTGAGCATGCAACTACCCACGAACATCTAGTTGGGCAAATAGAATCCAGTGCCTGCATGATTCCGCCTCGAAGCGAGGATTCAAACGCACGTAGCCGTTCCAGACAACACCACCCAATCTCCGCAAGACTAAGTGTCAGCGACCTCAAGATCATGTTTAGAAACAAACCGACCGATCGCATTCGGCAAATGCTGGCCAATTGGATTGTTACTGAACCGAGTAGGTCTCCGAGTCACAACTCACTAAAAAATTTCACACGCTACAAATTCAAGTTTTGACCCTCGCATTGCCTAGAACAATGATTTCAACCAAGCATACTACAGATACTTTAGCTTGATTGGACTTTAGAGGTGGCGCATAGCCTGCTCAAGTATACCAGTAAATGGTATCGTGTATGGATGGGAGACCGTCTTCATATGTCCCACTAAAGTTCAAATAGCCTCAGCTCATTAACCCGAATGTATCATTCACAGCCACACAGCCTCAATTTATTATTATTATTCACATGTTTATGATTGCATTGTATTCCCATGTTATTCCCGTACGCAGGACCACTCTCAGAGGACGTGTGTGCGCTGGCCTCTTGTCTTGTCTCTCTGGTTCCGTATAACTTGGAAGGCGTCCGATCGTGCCTTATCTGGCTGAATCAAGTTATGGACCAATTCTGCCCACGTGGGTCTTCGAGAGAAGAATGGAGAACATATATTGCACGCATACGCGCAACTGTGGAACATTCCATACAGCTGTGTTACAATGCAAGCCTCCTACCGTGATGTGTACAAGTGTTGTGAACATTGTATTTCTCTGTGCAACAACATACCGCGCAATTGTATTAGTTCACTAATCCAATATAAAGGATGGCACTAAAAACCTAGTTAATAGTAGTAAAAAACCCCATTGCTAGATGAAAACTCAATCTTTTCAAGCGAACATATGTTTTCAATAATTCTTCGTCAGGCTTGTACAATTATATGCAAAAACAAAACAACCAAAATATAGACACAGCACAAGGACCGGTAAAGCACTCAGTTCACAGTCACTGCATCCTAGGACACAGTTGTAGCACGTGCACAATTTCTTGGTTTGGACGGAGCAGTTCGTCTGGGCCAAGTCAAGCACAGCGTGTGATTGAATCTTTTCTGGACACACAATTCCGGCACGTATAGTCTGGTCGCTAAACTCTCCGCCGATTCAATTAAGCGCGTTCGAACGCACATTGATCGATTTTCAGGTGGTCGATAGATGACCTTAAATGCCTCGGCCAGATTGGGGGAATGGTCCGTGTCGGCCGAAAGGTAACCAACTCATCCATCGCCACGCATCTTGCCGACCCGATAAAGATGCGGGGATAGTCGTCCTGAACAAAGCAGACTATCTTCGGAAGATGCATGAAATATTGGTAGATGACACAAAGTTTTCAAAGATATTGGCCGAAAAAGACAAAACAAAGCAGATCGAAAATCAAATCTGCAAATGCCTTAATGGCTTCGTGATAGGGGCTTTATTACTGAAGGTGACTATGAAAACCTACGTCCCGTAGGCACCGCGATTCCAAGGTTGTACGGTCTGCCTAAAACGCATAAGCCTAACGTTCCTCTGAGACCAGTTATGGACATGAAGAACTCTCCGTACCATTCAACTGCACGGTGGCTCGTTGAGCTTTTGGAGCCCATCCGAAAGCAGGTTGCTGTACACAGCCTAAAGGACAGTTTTGAGTTCGTAGATGTCGTGCGTGATCGAAATGTTACGGATCTAATCATGTGTTCTCTCGACGTTGCTTCACTTTTCACTAACGTGCCACTATTTGAAACTATAAATTACATTTGTGATTATATTGATCAGAATCAGATAACCATTGGCATTCCTACAGTTGGCCTAAAGGAACTGTTGCTCCGATGCACTTTCAACATCCAGTTTTTATTCAACGGAGAAATATACCGACAGCACGATGTTGTTGCTATAGATTTCCCACTGGGACCGTTTCTTTCTGACGTGTTTATGGATATTCTAGAGCAGAGGAAATTAAGATCGGTCATCAAATGCCTTAGCCTTTACTGCCGTTAAGTCGATGACATCTTTATGTTGCTCCTTTCCTCCCGAAACATCAAGGACCTCACTAGCACATTTAAGCAGGCGCATACAGCGCTAAAGTTTACATCTGCAGTGAAGGAAGACAGCTCTTTTCATTTCCTCGATCAGACCATGAAACAACTGGATGATGGTTCGCCACAGCGTCTTGGGTATAGGAAACGTACTTGGAACGGACAATACACGAGTTTCTACAGTTTTGTTCCACTTAGATCAAAACGGAATCTACTCTTCAGTTTAACGAGTCGGGCGGAAAGAATTTGCTCGAATGACACATTCTCTGAGGAACTACAGCGCGTACGCTTAACCCTGAAGGAAAATGGGTACCCAGATTCATTAAGACCAACATGGAGCCAAGGAGATCTCCAGTAACCCTCACAGCCGGAAAGAAACCCATTTTTCTACAATCACCTTACAAACGGGAAATCGTAGTTGAACTTCTAACTTGTTGTATTTCTCGCGCTCTCAGGCACACCTTCCCAGCAGCCAAAATGCAGATTCACTTCACCAGTAGCTCGATGGTGAAAACTAACCCAAAAGACAAAAGGCCTGTCCACACCAATTCCATGTGTGTTTACTCATTCACCTGTTCCTGTGGTTCAGGGTGTATTGGCCGTATGACGAGGCGCCTGTCTGATAGGGTGAGAGAACACCATCCGGCCTGGCTTGCGACTGGGTGCCGAAAGCTAACCAACTCAACCATCGCCACGCATCTTGCCGACACGGACCATTCCCTCAATCTGGCCGAGGCATTTAAGGTCATCTATCGACCACCTGAAAATCGATCAATGTGCGTACGAAAGCGCTTAATCGAATCGGTGGAGAGTATAGCGATCAGACTATACGTGCCGGAATTGTGTGTCCAGAAAAGATTCAATCACACGCTGTGCTTGACTTGGCCCAGACGAACTGCTCCGTCCAAACCAAGAAATTGTGCACGTGCTACAACGGTGTTCTAGGGTGCAGTGACTGTGAACTGAGTGCTTTACCGGTCCTTGTGCTGTGTCTATATTTTGGTTGTTTTGTTTTTGCATATAATTGTACAAGCCTGACGAAGAATTATTGAAAACATATGTTCGCTTGAAAACATTGAGTTTTCTCGTTACTAGTTATAAGGGAAGCAGCTACATTCGATTGGGGAAAAATCAAGCGCACTACACGACGGTGAATAGAATTTGCTGATTGTTGTGCGGTGAATGTAGTGGCTTTGTAATTGATCACCTCATAACCGTCAGATCTAAACACACACTGCGCTTCAGTGATGTCAATTGTTGCCGACCTTAACCGCCGCGAAACGTGTGACGTCAATCTCTCAGATGGACACAGTTGACCAAGTGATGAAGACACAGCGGGCCAGTAGAATCGCTCTGAGATGCCCAGTCTAGCATGCACGCCCACCAATTTGACAGCAGATTGGTTGCACAATCCTTGGTTAACGTCTCGCCAACAGTTATCTCAAGGGTTCGTGATTTGGGTGTGTTGGAACAGCGCTTGACTGTTCCAAATAGCATTGGCCTACAACCCATAGAAATTTATCAGTCACTAAGGGGCGCGAACAACCAAGAATTCTCTAGTCAATTTTCCCTTCGGCTTTGTGGACATTCAAATTGGCTTCTCCAAGGGAAGCATCTGTGTCTCAGGCAATCGACGCCGCGAGCTAGGCGGTTAAGCGTTACCCCAGTGGCTCGGCGTTGCGTTACTGATAGCTAACACACAGACTTGGATTAATGTTACTGAGATCGGGTGGCGAGTAAGAACCGTGGAAGTCGGATGTCTCACTGAGGCCGGCGTCACGCCGGCCCGCATTAGACCAGTTAGATGGCCGAGATAAACTAACAACGGAGCGCCGAGGTGTGTCAACTGTATCAAATAGGTACGAACAGCATTACACTCGTCCCACCAAAGTCCAGGCTAGAGTGCACACTGCTGCAGTGTAGCGATTGTTTTGATGATCAGAGACGGACACTGCGTGTCCAATCTAAAGCGTTGTTCTGTTGGTGCCAAGTGGCGTGATGGGAACGCACGTGTTACTGATGCATAAATTGTGGTTGGCAGCACATGGTTGAAGAGCCCGATCGCCATTTTCAGTGCAAACATCGACTGCCAGACGGCGTGCCGGTCATCATACAAGATCTCATGTGTGATCCGCTCGGGCATTCATGTTGCCGACAACTACGCTACGACAATATGGACACGCACGGTTATATGACAAATAAGAACACTTTCTAATCTTTACTGCAGAGTATAATGTAGATGTATTGTCGGTGAAAAGGAATCTACGCGAAAGGAGTACAGTCAATAGGGGCCCACTATTCATATTACCGACAGCTGCGTTATAGCCTTACTCCTAACCTATGGAATTCTTCTCTGATGATTCCGGCGAGAAAATGATAACATCTTGAGTGCTGCTGCTACTTTCCATATACCTCACATCACGTTTTGCAGTCCTAACTGTAAGTTCCGATGGAGGCCTGCAACTAGGCTGCGCGAGCCAGGCGTTCCACTGAAATCGATTGCAGCAGTTTACCTTCCGCTCGGTACGAGGCTGGTAGCGTGAACACCCCAAAACATTGATCCAAGTAACCAAAAATGCTCCATCTTGTATGCGTATTCTAGGGGCATTTCACTTTGATAGCAGCAGTGCGGTGTAACAGATACTAGAGGCCCTATTTGACAGTGTCTTAGTTTTGACATGGTGAAGTCATAAGCAATTCCGTAATCTATTAAAACTAGAATCGGTTGTTTAAGACCTTGTATTACGGCTTTCAAAGAATAATAGCGTACCACTGCAAGAACCTAATACCTTGGCGAAATTTATGTTATCATAAACTGGTTTAAAAAGTTTGTAACCTCCTCCGTTATAGTGTGTAATATTGACCAAAGTATCGTCTACGTAACGCCACCAAACCTTTGGCGGACTGCTGGAGTTTGTCAGCGCCCTGTCATCAAACTCTTCCTTATACATGTTTGCCAATACAAGGGATATTGGCAACCCCAAGGCAAGATCCCTTTCCTGACCGTAAAGCTTCGAATGGAACGTGAAATATGACATATTAAGGTATACTTTCATTCCTTCCGTTATTCGATCCACTGTGAATTTCGTTCATTCTGCATGCCTCCTGCCTCGGTAAGACAGCACTGCGCTACCCCCAGTTCGTCACCCTTGGGCACGTTTACGAATAGTGAGTTAACATCGAAGGTGACCTTTATTTTATCAGACTTGATGACCAGACCTGCCGCCTTTTGCGCGAAATCATAAGAGTTCCATATGAACTTATTTGTTTTCCCTGTTGGGGTCTTCAAACTTTCAAGATCAGTTCGGTTGGCCCCTTGCTCCCGGACCTCTTCCTGCTGAGGCGACCCATGGACGGTTTAGTTAAGAGGCTTTATCTGAGGCTGACGTCCGAAACGCGATCACAATCCTCAACGTTTTCGTTTTTGTGGCCCGGATTCTATCCCACTGGCGCTATTTAAGGATGGAGGTGAAGTTCTCTGCAATGCACTGACCTACTTGTTCGAACATGTGTGGAAGGGATTGTCCAGGATAGGGTTTGTAGAACTGTGCGGTCGCAAAAAAACTGTCCTCCTGCGTTATTCGCCTCCAAATCTTTGGATTTATTCTCACAGAGACCTACGTGCCATCATTCGATTTGGCTCCGCGAGCTCCTCCTACCACTGTTCATCT